CCCCCCCCCACCCCCATTCATTTTTTTTAGCATAACATGAAGGCTAAGCCGACCTTAAACACAATCACTGACAGCAAAAATTGGCATTACATGCACCACGACGACCTAAAGAGGTCTATATTTGGTCTGGTTTGAAACGCAGTTACCTCTGTGTTTTACGAGACAGCTAAGCTAACAGGGAGCTATGAGCTACCATGCTAACGGTAGCCTGCTGCTACTGCAGAGGGTTTTTTTTCATGGTTTAACAGAGGCACATGCTTTATATTAGAGCGAGGAGATGTGGATGGCTCGAGTTGGTCTTTTTAACGTGAAAAGAGAGGGTTTTTCTTCGCGCTATTTGCACTGTAAAGACAGGCGAGACTTGTTGATCTCAGCTGTCAAAGTGACCCAGTCTGGTGGGTCTAGTAAGGTCGAAGGTTTTGAAAGTTCAGATGTGTAGAGAGCTAAGTTGCCCAGGCTTGTGTTTGAGCGACACTGAGTAGTTTTTCCTGTTCATATCCTTTCGGGATTTAAAGTGTTATGCGTGTGTTTGTGTTTTATTGACCTGCAAAAATGTGCAGATCATGGACAGAACATAGTGCAGAGAAACATGCTCCTACCTCAGATCAGCATCACTCTTTTGCATTAAGTTTCAATTAAGAAAATATAACTATAAGTCTTTTTGTTAGTATCAACGTCATGCTCCTGTCTTAAATATAAACCATAGTAGATGTGCCTTTATATTCAAACGCTTTAGTTTAATAAGGCTTACCCAGTTATTTTGAGTACCTAAATTTGGTTTTTCAGTTATCAAGCAATTTGAGTCAGCATTATTAAGAGATGCAGAGAGGAAAGGTTGAGATTGTTTGGAGGTGTGCAGAGGAAGGATAGTGAGGATATATTGAACAAAGGATGTTGAATATAGAGCTACCAGGTAAGAGGAAAAGAGGAAGACTGTAATCAGTAAGATTGGACTGTTACTGACCATGCCCAATAAGTTTCCTTAGTGAGGATGAATAGAAAATAAGTCAGTATATTTTTTGCTAATGTGATTACTAATTCTGCTTGCAGGTATTTTTACGGACTCTCTTAGTGGCTCATCATCAATTTTAGGTGTGGAAAAAAATAAGCCTACTGAACTTTTTTAGAAGCACTGCAGTTGTTACTTTCACTGCACCTGAACACATGGGAAAAAACAGGAGAAAAATAGTATTTGCAAAAGGAAAGCTACTCCTCTGAGTTTGATTGTTTTGAGAGATGTAGCGTACACTGATGAAATGAACTGATAAGCTTGTGAACTGGTTTTGATTCCCATCCCCAATAAAATTTGGTTTCTTTGTCAGTGCCATAATGATATTCACTGTTTCTTCCTATCAGTTACAAATTATTCATTCAGTCATTCATTTAGTCACGCTGTGACTCAGATCATAGTGCCACAGTTATCTCACATTTTTCTGAATATGGATGCAATGCAGTTCAGTGAGGTTGAAATAGCGAGTGCTAATCTCCAAGTCACCTAAAAGAGGGGAAAAATGTTTATGCTCATGTTGATGGGATTCATTTTTCCTAACTAGACTTTGCTATTCCTAGTTAGCATTCAGGTGTAAATATGACTTAATCATTTCAAACACGTCCTTGCTTTTGCAGCGCTTCTTGTGCAGAGTCAATTGTCTTGTAGGTCGATAATATTTATTATCCAAGGACATAGGTGTCTCAGGGGCTTGCGGGTGCAGTTTTAGTCACTATTCATCCATCCATGCCAGCATCTATCTATGATCTATCCACCTTTAGCTTCTTATCCAGGTGGTGGTAAAATAATTTAGGCAGTGCTGATTATCTCTGACCAAAATCTGATATTCATTCTCATCGTTTACCTCACTGCACTGCTTTATATATGCATCTTAAATATGAGAAGGTCTGGGCTTCCTAAAGTGTCCCCGCCAATGAACTTTGATTGACTTTTTTTAGGTTAGCCATTAATAATTTACTATAAAAATTGTCCTCCCACTAAAAGCAAAGTGTGATGACTGTGTCCCGATGGTCTCCTTGCAAAGTGAGAAGTGCTTCCTTACCCAAACACGGGCGGCAGTCCAGGATGAATTTATTTTTAGGTTTCAAAATATTTGTGCAGTTTCTCTGTTGCTGGGCTATGGATATGGTTGTGTAAAACCTGGATAGTGACTGTGGTGCTGAACTCATTCTTAAAACTTAGGAGCTGCTGCGTTACTTACACAGTAGATTATAAGAGCACGTTAATGACATCTGTTTCATGTAATTAGTACATGCCAAAAAAGACTCTTTTGTATATTTTGTTTTGGAAACAAATGAGAAAAAAGGGCTTTTAATTGGTACTTGCAGTGACAAATTGTGGTTTACATGTATGGAAGCTTCTTTTTTGTATTGTTGTTTTCAGTGTAATCCAAAAACTCAAGTACCATGGTACTCTTTTTGGGAGTTTGTCCCATTTGGGGTACACACCTGTGACAGCAGAGGGGGAAGGTTAAGCCTGTCAAGAGGATGGTGGAACGGCTAAAGACAGCAGATGGACAACAAAAGAGATGACGGGTGGACCCTCTGTGTTTCTCTCTCTGTCCTGCCTTCTCTTTCATTCTCATCATTTCTGCCTTGCACGTCAGGAGGGGCTGTTCAGAGACTCCCCACAAAGGCTTTTCAATCATGCCAAGGGAGCATCTCTCCCACAATCCTTTTATGTTCATCTGTACATCTTCAGCTTTTGCTATTGGCCATTAACAGAAATCTACTCACACTCACAGCAACACACTCCAAAAGTATATAATGTCATGCATAAGAGACTCTCTGCATCATTAGTGTTTATTGGTGTTTTGTGTCGTTGCTCTCGCCTCCTTCTCCAAAGCAGGTGATTGTGCTCTGTTGACTCTGGGAAACCCCTCTTATCTTTGTCGCCTCGTGCTGACAGCGAATCACGAGTTGGTGCTTAGAGCGAGATAATTACCTTCTATTTATTCATTATAATGATTTGAATTATTCATCTAGAATTATGTACCTTGTGCGTCTTTCAGCCAGTGAATGAATATGAGATCTTTATGATCTTGAAGCGCACATTTTCTTACGTGAATGGTTATTTATCTGCTCGTGCTTGAATCACAGCAGTTAACTGATTGCCATAGTGATTATCTGCTTATAAATAAGGGCACAGTTCCAGGAGGATATAATTATTAAAATTATTTGTTCACAACACAATAACAACACAGGTTATCACAGTTTAAACAGTCTAGATTTAATGAATAACGGTTCCATCAATTGTAATTATTTCAAAATTTGATTTTACAGGTTTGCCATGAGATAAATGCGTTAAAGTATTTGATTTCTTCGATACTCTACGAAACTTTTCTTTCACTGAAAACACTATGTCCTTAACATAAGCACTATGTTATGTTCATTTAGACTCAATTTAGGCTAATGATGACAGAAGATAGAATGTTGGTGCACTATGGTCAGTTCAGTTAATCCAGAGAGAGCATCTAGTTTTTGTTCCCCTGTGAATAAGTTCCAGAAACTAACTAAAATCCACCAGAGTTGTCAAAAAAAAAAATACATCAATACTGAAATATTAATCAGTACTAAAAATGTTACTATTGGATACTCAGTTGCAACAGTATTGATACCAACAGTGCTGTCTTGCCTCCTGCAGTTGGCATACAACTTCAAACAGTAGTGCTGGAGACAAACTGGCAGACAACCCTTCCTTCAGTAGCAGCTGAAGTAGTTGACATTCACAACACTTTATAGGAAGGAATTTTGAGAGGTCAGTAAAGCTCCTGTTTCAAGAAGAATGACGTATTGTGCTTGCTTTATGGTACTACTTTTGTGTCTGGTGAGGCTTAGAGTTAGGAACACGGCGGTTGTGACTGCTTTAGCCTCTTGTCTGCTAATTCGCATCACTGACTTGGACTACTCAACCATGTTCGTGGTGTTTGTACCTTTTGGAACATTTTTAATGGAAGTATCTAAATAAAATAATATGGCTCAGTGTGTGCATGGTACAGACTAGGGCTGAACGATTATGGAAAATAATCTAATTGCGATTTTTTGCCCCAATATTGCGATTGCGATGCGATATGCGATTATTTTTTAAGGTCTTTGTCTTCTGTATTATTAAACAAAGACAAGCAATACATCATATAGTATGGCCAATACTATATTACATTAATTTTAAACTGTTCTTTCCTGGAAGACAGACCTCTGTTATGATGACATGAGGTGATGCATGAATTGATGACTGACATTTTTATTTAACTTCTTCAATCACAACAGTATATTTGAACATACACAATAGTTTATTTTTAGCTTACAAACATCTGAGCATAAAGTGCTGACAAGGAACCCTGGTGTAAACATTAAAATGAAAGTCAGTACAATGTGCAGATTGCAGAAATATACATAAAAAAAATCAGTGGCTTTACCACACTCAGTTTTTCGACATCTGTGAACTACTAGACAGTCATTCAATTAAAAAATAATATTAAATAAATAAAACTAATAAATAAAAAATACACACATCTTACTGATCTCTGCAGTCAGTAACATTACACATAAAGTGCAAACATAATAGCAATTGTATAAACACACACACAAACACGCCTTTAAAACTTAAAGGCGTGAAATTGGACGGTCTAGCCTTCTGACTAGTTCTGATTAGCGTCACCGCTGTCTCGGTGGAGTTTAATAAACTCGGCCGTCTGCTTCTTGCTATCTAAAATATAACCAGACACTGGTGTAAATTCTCGACTGTCTCATACTTCTGTTTAATAAGTTTTCTGTTTGACGTTTAGTCAGCTGTGTGAAAACCAAGGAGGAACCCACCCGGGGGATTAATAAAGTTTTATTTTATCTAATCTAATAACTTTAATCTCAGCCAAACCGATTTACTCACGAACAAACAAAACACTGAAAAAAGCCCAACAATAACATTTTTAGGTTGTC